TTTATGTCCTGCCCAAAAGGTTAATATGGGGTCTTGTTATGTTGTTCCTCTCTCTAACATCGTTGATGGTAGTGTTTTGTGCCACTGTTTTTCTGGTGTTCTGCGACAGAAAGGCGTATTGGATACTTGCTCCAATGTTCGTATCAGCTTTAGTCCCTCTGTACTTGTTTGCGTCTTCAGATTACCCCCTCCTCTGGGACTTGATGGTTTCCACATGCGGCTCCGGCATCATCCGCAAGGAAAGAACGTTTTATGAGATAATTAAGGAAAAAGGTTTGAAGTTAGTCTTTTACTGTTGCTGCTTTGGCTGTATTAGTACTCCTTCCAAAAATACCACTTGATGCTCCCTGTTCTAGATTATCCCATATAAATATTTCTTGTTAGGAAATAATATGATGTGTTCTCTTTTTTTCTTTTTTCGTCTTTTTATTTTCACGTAACACTTCATTGAATTAAATTCACTTATACGATGTTTAAATAAAAGTTTTTGGTTTACATTTTCTTTATATTAATTATTATAGTAATATATCATTAAATTATAATTAATCATTAGTTATATACTAATATTATTAGTTACTAATATCAATTGTAGAAGTTAGTTTAATTAATTATGTAAAATATTTAAAACTAAAACTGATGTTCATAATACTAATGTAGATAAGACAATCGAAATCTAGGAAACTAAAATACTAGTCTTCTTGATATGAATAATAAAACTGAACTCCTATTAAATTAATATAAATTTTGTTTAATTTTCGACAATATTTTTATCGAATTAGGAAAATTCGGCATGCTATTGAAGCTTATTGTAAAGGCAGTGGCATTGGATAAAGAAAGTTTAATTTTATGTTTTACTCTAAGATTTTAATATATTTTATTTATATAAAGTTGTCAGCTCTAAAAATACTTCAAAAATTAATATAAACCCATTGTTTGATTGAAGTTCTAATTATTTCTTGGTTATATTATTATTTTTCTATTTAAACAATGTAAATTTGCAATAGTTTAATCAAATATAAAACTTGGAAAAGAAAAAAGAGAAAAGAAGAAGAAAGAAACTAATAAATAACTTTTCAAAAAGATTAAATGATAGTTATTTTCGCTTTAGGTCTAAAATATATGAAACCCAAAAATTAATTCATGTTGTAAAGAAAAATACTAAATAATTTTGAAAAATACCATGAATTTTGATTTATTTGTGAATTTATAAATTCTTATTTCATTTCATTTAATTTTTTGGTGACGGCTAAATATAAAACTTTTGAAATAAAATTATGGAGGAAGAAGAATAATATTTTTAATTCCAATTATATCCTCAACTAAAATAAAAGATGTGGGCTTGTTTAGAAAAATGAAATCTTACAAATTTGCTGCAACAGCAAAAATCAACTATAGGCTTTAATGAGAAGCCCATTTTTTATATGGACCTGTGAAATCTTATATGTAGTCCTTACAAGTTTTCTTTATGGGCCTGTGAAATTGGTCTGTATGGGCCCAAATAGAGTTAAATTTACATTTTAATCTCATATTATCGCTCGTATTGTCTCTATTGATCCAAGGATTTCCGTTACATAATCCTAAACATAAGAGATTTGTATATAGATTTTTATAAACAAATTGATGTGGTAAAAAAGAATAAATGGGTACACGTAAAGAGCAATTCAATTAATATTAGATAAATGATGTGATAATAACAAAATTATGCTACATTATTTTGTGGATTGGAGTTTGTATGATTAGTTTACATATGTATCACCTTTATGTCTATTAACCTAAAGTTTACAAGTCTTTCTTTAAAAATGAAATTAAAAATATTATAAAATCATATAATCTAATAGAAACTTAAATGTCACAAGTCACTTTCTCACTTATGAGAAATTAGTCGAACGATCAAGTTTATGATTTACTCCAATATAGTATAAGTTTTGAATCCCCTCATGAGCACCTATATGACCAAAGGTCATTATTTTCTACTTTTAGAAAATTGTAAGATTTTACCAAGTTTCATAAAACAATTAAAAAAAGGAGAGAGAAAATTTCGATGTCAAAAATACTTTTATATTATAGTTATGTTACATTATTTTGCGGATTGGAGTTTGTATGTTTAGTTTACATATGTATCACCATTATGTCTATTAACTTTGTCTTTGTGTAAGTGCTTGTATGAACTTTGGACATCTAGGATGTAGGAATCCTAGTAGGACTTGGGGTATGTGAGGCGTTAAGTTTAGGAATATACCAAGTGTTCAACTTTGTCTTTGTGTAAGACTAGGAATCCCTTGGGAGTATTTTCATAGGATTCGTAGTCCTAAGGAATAGGATCACTTGTAGGACTAGGAGTCCTACTTATAATCCTCTTGAGACTTAGATTCTTGAGGAATGAGGAGTCATCATGGGATCCAGATTCATTAGGAATCGTGTTGTTGATTTTCGCAAGTGTATGAAATCGTACAAGTAATAAAGTGTATAAAATACGGATATTGAACCCAAGAGAATTACTATTATCAATTACCAATTAAACTATTCTATTACTATTTGATCAATCCAAATTTTATTAAGGAAAACCTAAATTAAATAAACAATTGAATTTAAAAAGAAAACTGAAAAGAGAACAATTAAAATAAACCTTTGGGTAAAAACAAGATGATTAGACCTAGAGTATAGACTTCACACCAACTCTTATTCATATATATCGATCTCTTATGCTAATTTTATTAAGCTCTTTCTATAGGTCAAACTCCCTAAATTTCCAATAATTTTTTCTCGAAAAATTATCAAATTAACCCCTAATTACTAACCCGAATTATCTCTAATCAGAATTAAGCAATTAGAGATCATTACGCTCTATGGAGTTTACCGAAACCTCACAGGTCGCGGTAACCTATTTCTAGCGTTTGCTCAACTTATGGTTGTACTACTGTAGACCAACTAAGTATCATCTCTCGATCTCAACCTAGTTCATTAGTTCATTTAATTCTTGGGCTCTTAAGAATAAAAAACATTAGGAATAATAGTAAAACTTAGGGAGATTTCTTAATAAAAATTAATAATCAAAGATAAATACATAATCAAGAGATTGGGCTACATCTTAGCCTTAGAGAATATATTTAGTTCATAATAAACATGAAAGAAACAATCATCTTTATCAAAACAATCATTATGAGTTTATAAGAAAAGAACAAGGAAAACTTCTCTATATTGTGAATCAAAGCTCCATAACTTCTGTTACTTTTTTTCTTTGCAGATTTTTCTCCTCTTCTTCTCACCCAAGAATCCCCTTTTTAATGCTAAAAGACTTCTATTTATATCCCACAAGGGTTAGGGTTTTATTTTTCTTGATTCTATTTGGTTTTGGACTCTTAACCCTATTCTCCTACCTAAAAACGGATAACCAATTTTTAACTTCCATGACTGTGGCCCGGCACTGTGCTGCGGCACAGTAGCTACTGGAAAAAGTGTGCTGCTATTGGCCTTCTTCCACTGTACTTCAGAGATGGTGATTTTTGAACCTAATAACGATGAAATTTGGACAAGTGGTAAACATATGAAATGTAGCCCTTTGAATCAAATTTCCAACAGTCTAAGAATTGTCTTAATCTGAGTTCTACAGCTCAAGATATTCTCAAAATACCGAGGTATGCTCAAGCTGGAACGTAGTCTAGAATCTTCTCTTTACTTCAACTTCCATAACTTCTTCAATTCAACTCCGACTCTTGATCTGTTTGCTTCAACTCATCACTCATTCCATTGCCAACATGATTCTTCATTCGAGCATAACATTTAAGCCCTAGTAGCCTGAAAAACACTCAAAAACACCCCGTGATCCCGTAAAAGGCAATTATGAAGATATTAAACAACTTTACCAAATTAAGCCTAATTTCTCACAATTAATCCTCATAAACCACTAACTAAATGTGTATTTTCAAGCTCTTATTAAGTCAGACTCCTAATCAGACTCAGAGTTGTGAACGATGTCTAGACATTAGCTTTGTCAATGTCTATTATTAGCAGGCAGGCCAATGACCATGATGATCATTTTGAACAAGAAAAGTAAGGCCCATAAGCATTAGTTTGAACATTTACTTGTCTTAGTGGGCAATTAAATACATATGTACATCAAATCCTTGCCATTCCAACGTATGAATTGATGAAGTCTCGCTTGCTTTGGTATAAAGCTCCATTCATTTTTGCTTTCGGTTAAAGAAAAGACACTCATTTGCTAGCAGTGATCAATTGGGGCTACCTGGTGCTAAAGTAGCTCCATTGAACTTCACTTTCCAACAGGGGCGGATCCAGAAATTTCTATTAGGGTGGCCAAATAAAAACTAATTATCTATAACATTCGTATTTTGTTTTTCCAGTCAATATTGTCACAAAAAACAAAAAAAAAATTACATTTACTATAGTCCTCGGCGGGGCTTCATATTGAGGAATTGTTGCATGACCATCTCCTTATCAACACTGTCAAACATATCTTTCTCAACATATGGAATTAGGCTATCATTCAAGAACCGATCTCCCATCTGATTGTGTAAATGAGTCTTCACAATTTTCATAGTAGAAAATGCCCTTTCTACACTTGCAGTTGCAACTGGTAAGGTTAAAGCCAATGTGATGAGCAAATATACCAATGAGTAAATAAGATGCTTCTTCTTTTCAACTATTTTCTGAGCAAGACTGGTAATATCATTTAGTTATGAAAAAACACTATTTGAGCTCATATCATCAATGTAATTATCAAGTTGAAGTTCAAGTGCCATAAGATCAGTAGAAGAAAATTCACGTGGATAAAATTGAGCAAAACAAACTAATTTTCCCTTATCAAATGCTTGAAAGCAATCACTTGGATTTAGAGAGGCCATGCAAATAAGTAATTTTGTATTACCTTCATTAAAACGACTATTAAGCTCTGATAGTTGCAAATCTATTATGGCATAGAACAACTCAACACGATAATGAAATAAATTTGTCATCTCTTGAACATTACGCCGCGATCTCCCTCATGCAACAAATGTCTCTTGCATATTTGGTATATCTATATCATGAGCAATGCAAAAATGAGAAACTTCATCAAGTAGATTATCCCACCCATTATTTCTTATCAACGATAATCTTCTTTTCGACAAGTGAACCAAAGACATAGCATTTATAATATCTTGATCCTTCCTTTGCAATGCTTGTGAAAGTTCAAATGTGATTCCCAAAATGTTTTTCATCATGTGCAGGTTAAAAGCAAAATCAAAAGAAGTCATATAATCCACCAAATCACTTGCTTCAACTCTATTATAAGAATTTTCAGTAAGATCCTCAAGCACTTCAATAACAGATGAAAACAAATTAATCAAGCTCAATAAAGTCCCATAATGTGAACCCCACCGTGTTTCCCTTGGTCGCTTAAGACTAGTATCTTGATTAAGACCTTGCCCTATTGAAAGCTCACCACTTCCAATAGCTTTTTTCACTTTCAAAGCTTGTTTCTCATTAAGAAGATCCCTACGTCTAAGTGACCATCCAACAATATTTATCACACAAGAAACTTTCAAAAAAAGTCTCTCAATATTTGTATCCTTTTTTGCCACAACTACAAGTGCTAGTTGAAGTTGGTGAGCAAAACAATGAACATAGAAGGCATATTCATTATCTTCCAATATAAGTGCTTTTAACCCATTAAACTGACCTTGCATATTACTCGCACCATCATAACCTTATCCACGTAATCTTGATATGCTCAAATTGTATTTAGAGAGCAATGTTTCGATTCCCATCTTTAGTGACAAAGCAGTCGTATCCGTGACATGCCTAATGCTCAATAGACACTCAACAACACATCCTCTTTTATTTACATAACGTAAGATAATTGTCATCTGCTCTTTGTTGGATCCATCACGAGCTTCATCAACTAGTATAGAAAAAAAAAGCATCTCCAAGATCACTAATTAGTTTGTTGATGGTTTCAACTACAAATGCATTGATTATATCTTTTTGGATACTAGGAGCAATCAATTTATCATGTCTAGGAGCATTCTCCAATGCTACTAATCTATATTCTTCATTTTGCTCAGCTGTATAGTGTAAACGTTTAAGAAAGTTTCCTCGATTCATTGAATTAATAAACTCATCATGGCCACGAAAAGGCAATCCTTGCCGAAGAAGAAACTGACTAGCATAAATTGATCCTTTCAACAGAATACGATAATCTTCTCGCTGTTGGTTAGATTTCTTATTAATAATTGTACTTACATGCTGCTTTTGGTTCATCAAAGCTTGAAAATTTTTCACAGCTTGGTTATGATAGCTGTTAGGACCTCCAATATGATATTTAAATTTTTCAAGTCTCTTCCAATTGCGAAACCCATAACAAAAGAATCACCACCACTTTGCTCACCTTTATCTGGTTTGAAAAGATAACAACATAAACAATATGCAGCATCATTCTCAACACTATATTCCAACCAGTAAGGATATTTATCAAACCAAGAACATTGGAAACTCCGTTCATGATCACCAGATTTTGATTTGGGAAACTTATGGTTGCGAGGTTGACAAGGACCCTTTTGTAGATAACGCATTTTAACTTGGTCTCGAACATTAGGATGATAAAACGTAATTCTTGGTCGAAAGCCAGGATCCGAAAGAAGATTTTCCAAGTCAACTTCGAAGCAATTTTTCTTTGAAAAATGTTGGTTTTCATGATCATTGACACCAGAACAAAGTTGAGATGTCTCAACAGTTGACTTTCTTTTAAAATATTTTTCCATATCTAAATACAAAGAAATAAAATTATATAAATACAAAGAAATAAATTATCTCACGAATTGAATTCTATAATAACTATAGAAATTCTAAATTTTCCAGCTTAAAGTTTTTTAATTATCAACTTAAAGTCTTAAAGACTTAAACAATACATAAAAATAAAACCCTCTTTGATTCTATCTATATTTCTATTTCTATTATCTATATATTATTTTTCTTCCAAATTTTGGGATCACAAAACAATTATTTACCTATTACAAAATATTGGAATCTAAAAACTTCCCCTTTTTTCCTAAAAGTTTTCTCAATAAAATATTTAATGTACAATGCTATTATACTAATACACACAAATAACAAAAAAGTATTATACTCAAAGAAAAAAATACTAACCAGGGAGAAAATAACTGATAGAATTTTGTTTAAGAAGAATTAGAGAAAGCACCAGTACAACAGAGGAGTTGTGGATGATGCGAGCGACCACCGGTCTGACTTACTGAGGGTTTGCAACTTACAACTGCAAAGGAAATTCTATTTTTACACGTTTTATTAAAAAATTGAAGGTGGGCGGTCGCCGGTGGGCAAGTTTTTTTTAGTATTAAAGGGGAGAGTGGGCCAAGATTTTTAGTTCTAAAATTGAGAATAGGTCACAATTTTTTAATATTTGTCAATAAAAATTAAGGGTGGACTAAAGTCAAACAAAATAGAATAATGTATTTAATTTTTTTTTGGGATATGACTAGAATCACTGAACTATCCCACGTTTCACATTCTTTTAAGGGGCCAGCTATGTTATCAACTATGTCCATTCTCCGAATAGGCCAATTTGTTTCTTACAATACGGTTTGCAATTGGAGAACGCACAATAGAGTCAATAATTTTACTCTAACCCCTCTCTATCAGCTTTTCAAAAAGAAATTTCACTTTCTACAAACTCTGTATGTTTCATTAACTCCAAAAATCAATCCTCATTTGAGTGAGAAAGGGAATGCTACAAGAACAGATAATTATAAAACCAGCAATAAAACAAAATTTTATACATGAATTGATCACGACAGATTAATCACTAATAAATTTTTCTTTCATTTTCTTTTGGATTTTTCATTAGAAACAAACACAGCTAAATTATATTTTGCTGATATTGCTACTTGTTCCTTGGAACGAAACTGTGTTACAGGTTCTGGTTCCTGGGTACCCAAAAATATCAATCCCCTTTTTAAAAAAAATAACAAAAAACCTTTAAAATACATGACACCCCTAATAGTTTTATAAAATGTTGTCAATAGACCATCAATTGAGAAATAAGTGTTCCAATAATGATGAATGGAATACTAATAATTGAGGTTATTTGAGAATTACTCTAAGTTTTGATCTCCAACGTTATAAACAATTATATTGAATGTTCATCTCATTTTCAAAAAATTGAAAGTTGAAGACAAATAAAAATATCATCCATGACACACAAAACACTTTCATTAGCAGAGTATAAATAAACTTCAGTATCTATGGATATATGTATATAAAAAGTTACAAAAATCAATAATTTGAGTTATTCCACGAATTCATTTGATTACTTTACGAGCACAGCAATTTAAATTTTCAAAGAATCAAACGAGATGAAGAAGCAGGTAATTGTCCCAATCGCATTTTTTTCTTCGTTAGTGGGTAAAATATCAGAAAAGTCTTTTTATCCCAAAAAAATTTTAAGTCCCATTCTGTTCTGTCTTGGTTCCACCCCTGTAGGAATCAGAACTAGAACCGCACAATGCAGTTCCAGTTTGGGGACCAAAACCGACCCTATGATTTTTTATCGGATAGGAACTGGAACTATACCTAAATACCCGTCAGTTCTGTTTCTATCCTATTTTTTTGCCCACCCCTACAAAAATGTATTTGAGTCTATAATTAATTAAAAAGTATCTAGTGATTTAGGATGAGCTAGGACTTAGTAAATCGGGTAGGTAAAAAAACGGTACGAGAATTTTCGAGTGTATGACGGCAAATGGTGAAAAATCAGTTTGTAAAAATTGGCTATAAATCGGATACGAAAAAAATATTACGGGTTATACAGATAAACGACACATGTAATAATCTGTTTTAAAAAAATAGTAATAAATCCTAATTTAGACTTTTCATGGACACTTGGTTAAATCTATATACATTTAAATTACAGGTACGGAAAAAAAAAAGTTAAAGAATTTAGAATATGATACGAAAAATAGGAAAAATACATTTATAAAAATTTAGAAAAAATTTGAATCAAAATAATTTCCAAATAATATGTTGAGGCATATAATTTACTAATAATCCCAGTGTATAAAATAACTGATCACCATATATGCGAATTACGGAATACTTCGATTACAAACTAGAGTCTGCACTGTATTGTTGAGGTCATTAACTGACAGAGGAGTGAGATCACTCAGCATTTTTATGTGCCACATTAAACGTTCTGAACTGTGGTGGCTGGAAAATTAAGGGCATATTCATGTGGTGACTAAGCCGCCTTGAAATCCATTTTGGCAGACTATTGTGCTCAATTTTCTATATGAACTGCTTATATTATTTTCAACATGTGGTCCCTGGGGCCTTGTGGTGGATGTAATAAAATAATCAATTTAGTCTCAAATAACATATGCTTAGGGATGGCGTGCTTTCTTGTTTATGTATACTAATTAAAAAACATAATGCAGATTTACAAATAACATACAAAATTATATAAATAATATAATTAAAAAAAAAATAATAAAACAAACTCATCATTCACTTTATTTATTTTTATCACATCATTTTATAAATCCTTATAAAATTATTTACATTACCATTAACTTAAAATAACTTGTCAACAACGTGAAAGTCATATACCACTCAAAAACATTACCACATCTTAGATAAATGTATGATAGAGAGAAATGATAATTTTTGGAGCAATGAAATAAATAATGGAAAATTACTAATTGTGATAAACATTAGTAAGATGGATGCCGGGACTTGGCACATTTTGCAAGATTAAAAATATTTAAGTTGATAAATATATAAATTTTATAGGGTCAATTGAAGTTTAAATTGAGTTAAATATAAATATTATAAAATATAAAACTTGAATCCTCATTATATACGTAGGAAACAGGGTTCAATCCATACCTTGAATTCCTCGCTATGGCCAAAGGAAACACCACTCCACTTGCATTCCATCCCCATCTTTACTGGGGAAAATTATGATGTTTGGAGGATTTAGATGAAGACATATTTTTTGTCTCAAGACTTATGGGACTGTTAATATGAAAACTATTTAGAGATCAGCGGCTCCACTCTATGAACAACAAACAGAGCAGTTGAAAGAAAGTAAGAAAAATGATGCAGCAGCACTTTTCATCCTTCAACAAGCGTGGATGATAATATTTTCCGCAAAATTTCTCGTGCTCAGAAGGCGAAGAAGCATGGGACGCTTTGAGAGAGAGTTCCAAGGCAATCCTCAGGTACGCCTGTCAAACTACAATTTCGATCTCTTCATCTAGCTTGTAATCGTTCTTCTTCTTCGCAGACTACCGCCTTAGCGGAGGGAGAGAGCCGGGTAAGTAGCGGAAAACTAAAATAAATTTCAGAAGTTAATAAATAACAATCCAACCAACACACCTAAAAAAAAAAAAAAAGTCTGAAAGTTTTATTTTTTTTTATCGCAGAGGATTAAGAAATACCTGCCATTATACAAAGCTATCACGAAGGCGATCGAAATCTGTACAACAATCTGTGATGGGGTAAGAATGCGTTTGAGCCAGGATACGGTAAAATTGGACACAGCTCTTCATGTAGCTGTTGGGACAGGCAAGGCCAATATATTGTGGAGTATCTATTGAATCAGATGTCAATGGGTCAAGTGTCAATGAAAAATGAAGAGGGTAACACGGTCCTTTCCGTTGCTGCAATTGTTGGC